TGCAAAATCATTAACACCCATGTTTCCATTCAGACTGTTCAAGGCGGTCTCGGCCTTTTCTACGATGAATCTCAAAGTCCCCCAGCCTGTGCCTCTGCCCCGCTCCAAAGTTACCTCCGCATTTCTAGGTCTTTGTTACAGTGGCACCCTCGGTCTGGGGACCAAAATTTGTAACTGTTTCCTACTGATGCTGTAACAAAGTCACGCAGATGTATTGGCTACAATACAATTAATGTATTGTTTGCACACCTGGAGGTCAGAAGTTCTCAAAAGGGTCTTACAAGCCCTCGACAGGTAGCTCGGTTGCTTAATGTCGTCCCCATATGCTGAGGTTGCGGGTTCGATCCCCCATCAGGGCACATGCAGGAATCAACCAATGATGCATAAATAAGTGGGACAGTGATTTGATGTTTCTCTCTCCCTCTCCCTTCCCCTTTCTCTAAAAGGCAATTAAAAAATATTTTGAAAAAATTAAAGCAAGCCCAGCCGGGCGTGGCTCAGCGGTGGAGCATCGACCTAGGGTCCAGGAGATCGAGGTTAGATTCCCGGTCAGGGCACAGGCCCGGGGTGCAGGCTCCATCCCCAGTTGGGGGCCTGCAGGAGGCAGCCGATCAATTACGACTCTCTCATTGATGTTTCCCTCTCTCCCTCTCCCTTCCTCTCTCTGAAGTCAATAAAGACATATTTTTTAAAAAAATTAAAAGGGGTCTTACAAGGCTAAAATGAAGCTGTAGGCAGGATTGCACTTGTTCTAAATTCCCTGCATTTCTGGGTTCACGGTCACAAGACCACCTCCCTGGCTCCANGGCAGGATTGCACTTGTTCTAAATTCCCTGCATTTCTGGGTTCACGGTCACAAGACCACCTGCTTGGCTCCCAGGGGACCCCTGTGATTATACTGGGCCCACGTGGCTGACCCAGGATCATCTCCTCCATCCCTGGAGCCTTAACTTAGTCCTGTCTGCACGGCCCCTTTGCCTTTTAAGGTGACCTTCCTTAGGCCGTGGACATCTCTGCAGGGCCCTTGTTCTGCCTGCCCGCACCACCTTCTCCTGCACTGATGCCATTTTCATGCGAATGAAACCTCAGATCTGAGGAACATATTGGGGAAAACCTGGAGGCAAACGCCCTTNGCCTTTTAAGGTGACCTTCCTTAGGCCGTGGACATCTCTGCAGGGCCCTTGTTCTGCCTGCCCGCACCACCTTCTCCTGCACTGATGCCATTTTCATGGGAATGAAACCTCAGATCTGAGGAACATATTGGGGGAAACCTGGAGGCAAACGCCCTCCTCGCACTTACCAGCTCTTTTTTGCAGAGCAGCTGCTGTGATGTCTCTTTTTCCATTGGGAAGACAGGACCAGAGAGGTTAGGCAGTTTGACAGAGGCCACACAGTTCATTAATGGCAGAGCTAGCCCTGAATTCGGCTGTGTGGACCATCTCAAAGTGCTCCCCTGGTCGGTAGGCCAGAGAGGGCGATGCAGATCCAAGCTGAAGGAAATACTTAAACAAAGGAACAAAAGAAGCCCCTTTCCTTGAACCTAAAGTTAAGATGTTAAAAATTGAGACCCTGTATTGCAATAAGTTAATGCTTGAATCTCTTAACAGAAATTCGAAGTAAAACAAAAATCCCACTTTGGAAGAAAAGCTGAATTCTTGGATCCACCAGTAATTCACGAGGTTTTTCCCGAGGCAGGTTCCTTAACGTCTTCGGTGTCACTGTCTCTGTCTGCAAAGCGGGCTCCTGGGGGCGGCCTGGCGGCTCCTTTGAGCTGCTGGTGCAGAGCTTCTTGCTCAATTCTGAGTGGCAGGGGCGGCTTCACATCAAGGCCTCTCCATCTCAAGGACCCGGTGAATGGAGGCTCCCTCTTGTCTAGAGATATTTGTGAGTGTGATCAAAGCAGAGGCCAGTTTTGAAATGCTTTTAAAGGAAGCGCACTATCAGTGCTGTTCTCTGAGGCTGAAACATGGGCTCTTGGGAGATTTTCTGACCAGCGAGAGGCGAGAGACCTGTATAGGTGACGGATATTTTTCAATGTTTGGAATTATTCTTAGAGGGTCTATTAAAACGGGGAATCAATCTGGGAAGCTCCGACGACAGCATTTATGGAGATGGTAATTATAGAATTACCGCTTTTTATGGTTTACTGGAATTATTGGCTCTTTATTACTATTGTTTTAATTATTTGTTCCTACAGTGATTCTTCTTTACAGATCCAGCGACACTCTGCCCAGCCCTCTCCGACCCTCCCCCTCCTGCTGCTGCTAAAAGCAGACTCCTTGGTCTACATTCTTTGTCGTTTTCAATTTAATTTTATTGATTGATTTTAGAGAAAGAGGAAATTGATGCGTCTCCCCCCCTCTCCCTTCCTCTCTCTCTCTCAAATCAATAAAAACATTAAAAGCAAAACGTCTGTAGAGAATGAAAAGCCCCTGCCGTCAGGGAGCCCCTGCAGTGACCGGGGCAGGGCCGCCTGGGCACCAGCCGCGGCTCCAGGACTGGATAATAATTCTGCATTCTTGCCCCGACCCCTGAATCCCTGTGCATCACTTTCTCACCTCGTCAGCTGATGTGTTCGCAGCGACAGATCTCACGTCTGTTCTGATTAGGCCTGTTAATGCCGGGACAGTGCTCCACACCGTGTCCGGAGTAGACACGGCAGCTATTAGGCCCACGGATCGCTGCTATAGTC